GGTTTGGCCTCTAGATCAATTCTGCATCCAAATCTGACAACATAATTTTTGGTCAAAATTCATGTCTAAAAAGGTATCCTCAAATATCCTATATGGACATACTCAAAACTTCCCACTCCCATAACTAGGTCAAATCTTAACCGATTCTCAAAAGGTTTGGCTTTTTGTTCATGGTTTGGCCTCTAGATCAATTCTGCATTCAAATCTGACAACATAATTTTTGGTCAAAATTCAAGTCTAAAAAGGTATCCTCAAATAACCTATATAGACATAGTCAAAACTTCCCACTCCCATAACTATGTCAAATCTTAACCGATTTTCATAAGGTTTGGCTTTTTGTTCATGGTTTGGCCTCTAGATCAATTCTGCATCCAAATCTGACAACATAATTTTTGGTCAAAATTCATGTCTAAAAAGGTACACTCAAATATCCTATATAGACATAATCAAAACTTCCCACTCCCATAACTAGGTCAAATCTTAACCGATTCTCAAAAGGTTTGGCTTTTTGTTCATGGTTTGGCCTCTAGATCAATTCTACATCCAAATCTGACAACATAATTTTTGGTCAAAATTCATGTCTAAAAAGGTATCCTCAAATAACCTATATAGTCATACTCAAAACTTCCCACTCCCATAACTAGGTCAAATCTTAACCGATTTTCATAAGGTTTGGCTTTTTGTTCATGGTTTGGCCTCTAGATCAATTCTGCATCCAAATCTGACAACATAATTTTTGGTCAAAATTCATGTCTAAAAAGGTATCCTCAAATAACCTATATAGACATAGTCAAAACTTCCCACTCCCATAACTATGTTAAATCTTAACCGATTTTCATAAGGTTTGGCTTTTTGTTCGTGGTTTGTCCTCTAGATCAATTCTGCATCCAAATCTGACAACATAATTTTTGGTCAAAATTCATGTCTGAAAAGGTATCCTCAAATAACCTATATAGACATAGTCAAAACTTCCCACTCCCATAACTATGTTAAATCTTAACCGATTTTCATAAGGTTTGGCTTTTTGTTCATGGTTTGGCCTCTAGATCAATTCTGCATCCAAATCTGACAACATAATTTTTGGTCAAAATTCATGTCTGAAAAGGTATCCTCAAATAACCTATATAGACATAGTCAAAACTTCCCACTCCCATAACTATGTTAAATCTTAACCGATTTTCATAAGGTTTGGCTTTTTGTTCGTGGTTTGTCCTCTAGATCAATTCTGCATCCAAATCTGACAACATAATTTTTGGTCAAAATTCATGTCTGAAAAGGTATCCTCAAATAACCTATATAGACATAGTCAAAACTTCCCACTCCCATAACTATGTTAAATCTTAACCGATTTTCATAAGGTTTGGCTTTTTGTTCATGGTTTGGCCTCTAGATCAATTCTGCATCCAAATCTGACAACATAATTTTTGGTCAAAATTCATGTCTAAAAAGGTATCCTCAAATATCCTGTAGGGACATACTCAAAACTTCCCACTCCCATAACTAGGCCAAATCTTAACCGATTCTCAAAAGGTTTGGCTTTTTGTTCATGGTTTGGCCTCTAGATCAAATCCTCAAATAACCTATATAGACATAGTCAAAACTTCCCACTCCCATAACTATGTCAAATCTTAACCGATTTTCATAAGGTTTGGCTTTTTGTTCATGGTTTGGCCTCATTATCAATTCTGCATCCAAATCTGGAAACAAAATTTTTAGTCAAAATTCATGTCTATATGGCACTCTCAAATATCCTATATAGACATAGATACAAATTCCCCACCCCCATAACTAGGTCAAATCTCAACCAATTTTCATAGGGCTTCGCTTTTTGTTCATAGTTTGGCCTCATTATCAATTCTGCATCCAAATCTGACAACGTAAATTTTGGTCAAAATTCATGTCAAAAAAGGTACCCTCAAATATCTTATACAGACATACTCAAAACTTTCCACTCCCATAACTAGGTCAAGGTTTGATTTTTTGTTCACGATTTGCCCTCTAGATCAATTTGGCATCTAAGTCTAGCTACATTATTTTTGGTGGAAAATTCATGTGAAAATGGAACCCTCATATATCCTATATATGTAGGTCAAAATTTCACACTGCCGTAATTCAGTCAAAACTCAACAGATTTTCACGAGGCTTGGGCTGGTTCAGACAAATGTAATGCCTGCAACAGCAGGACGTAACTGAGCTAAGTTTCATATTAAGAGCATTTAGACTAAGAGACTAGTTTGTTAGCGAAGAGGCAGTGAGATTCAACTGGATCGAGTCGGTTATTGATGGTAATCATGAGTATATATATATATATATATATTCTATGGGTGCTGCTGATGTCTTCTTTGCGTTACACGTTAAGTAACAAAATCAAAATAGCTCGCTATAAGTGTAGCAAAATCAGCTAACAGCCAGCTAACTGAAACACTTTTTCAAAGCACGGCCAACATATCAGTTAACAACAACAACTAAAACTAGGAATTTCTAGTGGTCACTGAACCAACAAACAGCTCGTTGTTGTTGTTGTTGTCTCCTCTAGTGTGTTGATCATCTACACGACAAATGCTTGTTGTTGTTGTTGTTGTTGCTGTCGCATCGCATTTCAGTTCCAGCGTGTCCCGAACTATGCCCGCACTTTGCAGCTCAGTGTATGTGCGACTAACTTATAAATTGAGCATGTTATATGCTTCTTCTTTATCGCTGCGTCTAACTTAACTCAAAAAGCAGAAAAACATAAAAATCAAATTGAAGTAAACGAGCACATTAACAGATTAACAGCCAACGATTCGCTTTGATCTCGGGAGCCAATCGTAAAAAAAAAATGGGAGACATTTCGAAAATGTAGAAAATATTCAAGTTTTAGATTGCAAATGAGGCTAAAATCGTTTTCTGATTTGGAAGTTGCGTTTGCTAAAGACATAACATCAATTATTTATAAAGTTTTGTCGTTAATGAACCAGGCTATAATTGCTCAGAAATCTAAAATAAGTAGTTCCCCAAGCACTAAATTTAGTTTATAAATATGTGTTGTAATGTGATATGTAAAAAACTGTTCATAGAAATCTATTTGTTATTGAAAGCTAAACTGATTTGAGTTTTATTTTTCTATAAAAAAATTTTAATTCCAAAACAATGCAAAATGATTTTAAATAAAATTAAGCAATACAATAAATTATATTATTAACGAGTTATTTGAATCTAAACATAAAGTTAAAGAGCTGTATTTTATAAAAGTTTCTAGCTGTGAGCATCATACATTTCTTTTTCACTTTTAATTTTAATTTACAGTATTATTTTGGATATTTCAGTGTTGTAAAACACTGCAGCTTTTTCTTATGCAGCTTGTAATTCTCAAACAGTTCTAGCTCCGAGCTGCATAAGTTTTAAGCAACATTTCTTCATTTTCCAAATTTATGATGAAATGTTTCGCAAGAATCAAATATGTTTCTTTGACTGATTTATGTTTCTCTTTGCTTGACGCTCATATTGTAGATGAACTGTTTTTTATAGTGTATTTTGTAGTCTTTGCATTTATGATTAGCTTGTTTCTGCGTGTTGTTGTCGGCATTTGGTTTACTTTTTGATTGATCGCAGCGGTTAAAGCCACCAGCAGCTGGCTCCAAATGTTGTTTGTTGTCGTTGATGTTGTTCTCGTTGTTGTTGTTGTTGCTGAGTTTTTGAATGGCCACGCGATAAAAGAACTGAGATCCGTTGACTTGTGGCCACAGCTTCGGGGCAGCTGTTGTTGCATTGAAGGCATTTTGTCTGCGTCTCATCAATGCATTTTCTATTGACTTCGATATGCGGAGGCATGCAACGCCTTGCGGCTAATTTGCATATCAAACTGAGTCAACGCAAGGCTTTTAGTGTGCGTGTGTTTGTGTGTGACTCAAGTGGTGCAGAGTGCTGGGCGGGTGCTTGGGGCTAGAGCTCTCAAGTGCTTTCCACTTGGGTTAAGCCATCAAAGTGCATTTGCTTTCAAGTGGACTCTAAACCCCTATTCTCCTGCCCCCTGTACACTCTACGCGCTGAAAGCGGCTTAATTTAATAAATTAATTGTGTCGTTAGAAGCGCGCACAACTTTTACCCAATGCCACTTCCTGTGGGCCAACTACAACAAAAACAATTTTCATTCATATTGTAATGTAATGGCCCAATTGCCCCAGACACACAAAACAAAACACACAACATACACTCACACACAGAGTGCCAAAGTTGCTTTTGGAGGTCGCACGTGGAATCCAAAACTTGTGGTTATTGTGCTTTATTTAACGACTCCAGACAGCCGGAAGCATTTGGCCAATAACAATTACAATAAAAAATCAACTTGTCGCCATTCATTAGACAAGCCTAAGTACTCACTGAATATAGATTTGTATAGAGAGAAAATCATGGTTATTGTTAGCCTAATTAGAAACCTTGAATTTGCCGTTGATTAAAAGTCGATGGCGTAGCCAAATAGAGCGCGAGTGCTGTATTTAGCCTTAAAGAGAAACATTCGACTCACTTAAATTTATCCGCATTCATGAGTAGTTTTCCATTTCCATAGAAACACTCAAAGCTATTTGTGAACTTAAGCACAAGTTCTCTAAAGTACAAACTGGCGGCAATTTCCCAAAAATTTGTATCGAATAAATTTAAATAGTTTTCTTTAGAAATACGATTGAACCCATTACATCGAATGCATTTTCTGTCGAAGGGTGGAATTACAGAATTTGCTGAAATGCTACGCCGAAAGGAGGAATCATGATCCAATCTACTCCCCACTTTCCACTCTGTTTGGATTTGGCGAAAAGTGTGAAACACGTCTCGAAAAATTTTCATAATTTTATTTTCCAATTTTCCAATCTAGGACCAAGTTTTGCCAGCAGCGAATAAATCAGAGATCTTTTAAGCCAAACGAATGATGAACAAAAATTTGCATTAAATCATATTCCGCCATTTTTCCACGTTTGAGAGTGGAATTCGACACTATTCGTCCGTCCATCAGGCCAAACTATACGTTTAGAAAATAAAATAAGTCAACATTTGATATAAGGAATGTGCCAGCGCAAATTTGGATGCTCTCTAGCTTAGTGTATTCCTTATACCAAACGATGACATTTTATTTTAATAAAGAGAAGAAATGCAATAAATTTCTCTTTTCATTACGATGTACACTGCAGCGAATTAAAAAATTTTAAAATATAATGAATTACTCTTCTGTGGCCATGTTCAGCAGGGTTTCTTGCATTCGATCATGGCAGTAAAACAGTAGCCGGGGAACTGAACGCACTTCAAAAGGAAATCCGAGATATTCTGTGGATCGTGATCGCAATATGTATAATAATTGTTAGATAAATTGTCGTATTTTTTCAACGTACTCCACAGGGATCAATGCACTGAGAGAAAAGATAGGTCCACACATAGAAAAATGAGCAAAAATATGCCACAAAGAATGAGAACAACAAAAATATAAGCAGCCAAAAGACGAAATAAACCGGATTACCCATATTTGTAAACTATATCTGAAATTGAGAATTTTTGCAACTAAATATTTTGTAAACGTTCAGTCTAAGGGAACTCTGTTTCGATTAGATCAAATTCGTGTATGTCAAACTGTCTAAATATTTTAATGTCATTTCTTAAAGCCTTGAAGATGGTATTTATCGATATATATAGGTATACTATCGACATTATTTCCTCCTCTCTTTCGCTCTCTGCCGTCTTTCTCTTATTTTTCCCTCTCTCAACCATTCTCTCTGTTTCGCTCTCTCTTTCTCTCTCTCCTTTTCTCTCTCTTGCCGTCTCTCTCTTTCTCTTGCTCTCTCTCTAGATATATTTCTCTTTCTCTCTGCCTCTCTCCCTCTTTCTGTCTGTCTCTCTCTCTCTCTCCGTCTTTCTCTCTATTTTTCTCTCTGTCTCAGTTTGGAAACGTAAACGGAACCAACGATGAATTTTATATTTCTTTTTATGAACCCTAATATGCGTTCACATTTATTGTCATTGCTGAATTATATATTTTGAAATTTTAAGTAATAGCACAAAAATATTTGATATTCCATATATATTCTCAAGTTCCATTTCATCCCATAAATGATTTTGTATTTAGCATCTCTCTCTGCACAAGGGCACACAGTCTTTGTAGGTATAAAAGCAGCGACGTGGTAACTGTACACACTTCCGTATCATATTACCATAGCTCTATGAAAGATATATCAATTAAAATCTATATAGGATTTTCCCTCAATGCTTACCTCACAGCCGCTGCACTGCAGCGAATAGTATGGAATGTAAAAACAGTGAAATACTATGTTCAAAATGTACGCAACAACTATGCACGATAAAACAACTGAATGAAACGGATAGTTCATATTTACAATATCTTAGTCAAATTTTAAATAGAATATTGGTTGACGATGTCCACTGGGAAACTTGCTTTGTTTTTTACTGATGAGAAACTAAATAGTTTTGGAATTATAAAGCAAAGTCAATCGAGTTGTTAGCTATATCGATATATGGATTAATCGATTACAGCTACAAAAACTGCGTGTAAATTCAATAAAAGTCAAAGCTGCAAATCGGGCGAGAACCAAAGCTGAATCCCTTTTAGTTATTGATACGACCCGAAACCCAAAACGAGCTGTCTGCGAAATATAAATGTTGGACGAAACTCGGAAAATGGTTTAGTTCGCAATAAAGAACTTTTAAGGGGGACTCAGCCCAACCATTAAAAAAGTTTGAAGCAAACACTGGGTCTATGGATATGGCAAATCAGATTCACAAACCAAACTTAAAGGCAGTAAGCTGGTTCGAGCCCTGATAGGTGCTCACATATATTGTTATTGCTGAATTATATTTTGAAATTTTTAGTAATAGCACAAAAATATTTGATAGTCCCATAAAATGCAGCACACAAAAAGTGTGTGAATCAAAACGTTTCCGCATGCTTTCTGTATTCCATAAATGATTTTGCTTTTAGCATCTCTCTCTGCACAAGGGCACACAGTCTTTGTAGGTATAAAAGCAGCGACGTGGTAACTGTGCACACCTCCGTATCATATTACCAAAGCTCTATAGAGGAGAACTCAATTAAGATCGAAATAAAATGGATTTTCTTGAAGCTTACCTCACAACCGCTGCACTGTAGAGAATAATATGGAATGAAAAAGCACTGAAAAGCTATGTACCAAATGTACGCAAAAACTATGCACGATAAGGCAACTGAATGGAACGGATAATTCATATTTGCAATATCTTAGTCAAATTTTCAATGAAATATTGGTTGACGTTGTCCGCTGAGAAAATAGTTTTCTTTTCTATTATTTACTGTTGATAAACTAAACAGTTTTAGCGTTGAGAGGCAAAGCCAGCCGAGTTGAGAGACTATTTTATGGCATTTGTTTTATTTATATCGATATATCGATTATTATCGATACAATTTCTTGGGTAGCTATGAAAAAAAAGCAAACAAATGCAAATGTTTTATGATTAATTCCATTACTTTTGACTTAAACTTATTCTTTGCGTTTTTAATCCAATAAGAAAGCGAATCAGCAAATGGAATTGCGCAAAAATTGCAGAGTTTATAATTACTTTCTTCAATATTATCATAAAGAAAAATATAAAAATATTGAATATTAGTAGAAACCGGTTATATTTGTGTTGACACTCACAGAGTCGAGATAAAGCTGATGTGGTGTTTATTTTTCGGCTTGGATCTTGACTTTCGATGCTGACGATAATCACTGATTAGTTTGTAAAGTCATGTTGTTGTTGCTCTTGAAAGTCATTATAAGAAATCTTTAAAAAAAAAATAGGTATATATATGCGCAAGTTTCGTGAGGATGATTCTTCAAATAATTATGTAGAAAGTGAAAACACTTGAACGCGTATTCGACAAGAAATTCCACGAGCGAGTGTGAGAACTTGAGAGCTGTGCTTGGAAACTGACCTTAGCCGCAGCAAGGGAACTTATTTATTAAGAAAACTTTAGTAATTTTGAAAAGAAAGTTCATTGAAAATTAAAATTTGGGAACTACAGACAAGAAAGAATTTTTCACGTTGAGCCCTAACTTAACTTTCCTTAAATTTCATCTTAATCGAGCAGATTAAAGCTTTAAACGAAATTTAAGTTGGGCTTAAACTCGAAGACAGGTGGAGCGTTTAGAAGCACTCGAGCTTTAAGTGTCGCTTCGACTAAATTAAAGCTCTTCAAAGAGTTACTGTCTTGAAGCTTTTTGCTTAATAAATGTCTTTTATTTAAAAGCTTTTTGGCTTACAAATGTATTTTCGCTGCATTTCTCAGGCTCATTTGACACAAATTAAGCAAATTAGCGGCCCACTTGTTGTTGTCAACTTAGTTGGCCAGCAAAATTGAGATTTGTGTCGCTGGCAAATAGACATTTACCCAGAAACTGTGTGTGCACAGTGCATTAGCCAACATACACAAACGGGCGAATGTTCTGTTGGCGTTATAAATTCGCACCAATTTTTTGCCCAATAATCTTTGCGAAAACTGCAAACACACAGCTACAACATTTACTTATGTCTACATCCATGTTAATCTATGCAAATGGATATTTTTATAACAAATTGCCGCCACTTGCTAGTTGGCAGCGACGACGGCCAGGCCAAAAGTGTGCCAGGAGCCAAGTGCCAGCATCGGACAGTAGAAAATACGTGAAATTATACTAGAGTATAAAAAAGAAAAAGAGAGGAAGCAGAAAAAATACCCCCTAAGCGAGATGACAGCCGACGATTTAAAAATAAAATTGCATTATGAATGCATTTGCCTGTGCGCTGCGCCTTTTGTATGCAGTTGCAATTTACTCAACGCTAGACAAAACCAGACAACGCAGGCGCTACAAAAAAAGCGCTGGCGCGACTATTCAATACCCTGTAAAATTTAAAAATATGCCAAACAGAAAACTATATATATATTTATATTTGGAAGAAACAGTTGGAACTGTATAAAAAACTAAATTATTGTTTATAAAAATAAGATTAACTAAAATCTTAAATATTAGAATATTTAACTTGATTCCAAAATTATATTATTATTATTATATTATATAATACTTTATAAAATAATTTATAATTTAATACAGTCCTGCTTACGCATACCCACAGCCTAGTCGCAGCTCACCCAGGCACTCATCTAATGTTTACAGGGTATGAAGGACACACAAATCTATATAATACGAAACATGTTTTGTGTTTTCAACGAGTTTGTTTCATACAATCTGTTGTCTCTCATATTTTCGCATACCCACTCCCTAGTCGCAACTAGCCCAGGCACTCATTTTATGTTTACAGGGTATTAAAGACACACAAATCTATGTCAAACATCTAAATTTGTTTTGTGGCCCTGCGCAGTTTTTATGAAATTTACTGGAGCAAATACGGGAAAGAATAAATATTTCAATGACATCACCGTGTTTTCTTCCTCTTGAGTTTTCCTCAAGAAAATGCAAATTTGTGCGTTAAAGGAATTCTCTAGATTATATATAGAAAATAAATAGAATTATAAATCCATGAAATACAATTATATGTAAAAGCTTTTGCTTGTATTTAATGACTGCTTAACATGGCTGATAAACCCCTCCTACAACACCACCCCTCCCCCCTCACAGTACAGTTTATGTCCAACTCTTCCTTTTGTTGTTGCTTTTAATGGTGCACAATTTTTTTATATTTATGTGCGGCACATTAAAAAAAAAATGCTAAAAAAAGTGCTTTCGCATGGCAATGTTTAATTTTATTGACCAGTTGGTTCAGTTGGTTCATTTGGTTGAGCTAGTTCGGTTCATTTCAGTTCAGTTCACTTCAGTTCAGTTCAGTTGAGTGAGTGCATTCACCTTCTGCATTCGCTTTTATGGCTTTGCAATAGTTGTGGCTATTTGAATGTGCTCACAACTTCCCATTCGTCCATTTGAATAATCAAATTTGCAATTTGTGAAGTTCGGTTTCGATATTTAGTGCGATCATTAATTTTCTACGGCCAGACATATCATTTTATGGTTGTGTGGGAAGTTACTTTCGAGACTGAAAAAATCACACAAATAAATTGTATGGATCATAAAACTCGCAAAGACTTTCTGCATTATTCTGGATAAATATTCAAAAGAACTCCAGTCTTCAATCGAACTCGATAAATATATAATCTTACCTAGAAGCTATCTTTAATTGTTTTAAAATTAGCATGAAGCCATTTAGTAGGATATGATAAAACGCATGAAATTATTGGTAAAATTTGAAGCTAACAATTTTATTTTCATATATTTCAAAAGCTTTTTCTTATTTTACAGACTTTTTCCATTAGAAATATATTACAGAAATTTTTGTGTTATTAGCTGGAACCTTAGCTTTTCATATATTCTTAAAATGCTGCTCTGTTGAAAAGAAACAGGTGCTTGGTTCGATTTAAGCCTCATTTCAAGGCACACGAAAAGTGTAAATTTCGTTTTCGGGCATGTCATTTGTTCAGAGGATCCACTTCTGTTCGCCTTCTCTATTCTTTCATCTATAGACCCTTACTATCCTGTTATGCTGCTGTGCGCTCCATTTATTCCGTTGATTTCTGCTACCTTTTGTGTGGCAATGGTCTCAACAGCTTTTCCACTTGCCACTTGTGCCCCGCCCTGGTTACCATCTGAATTATGCATATTTATGCTCACCTGTGTCTACTGTTCCACACACCTGCGGCCCTTGCTGCCCGCGTCTGCTCAATTAATTACTTTTGCTGCGTGTCTGCAGTTGCTTTTCCTGTTGCTACCGGAAAATTGCTGCGGTGGAAAACTGCAGACGCCCACGCAATGAAGCGAACAGCAGCAGCAGCACCAGCAGCTTCGAAGCGCCAACAACTTTTAATTAAAAGTCAAATTGAATTTCTGCATATTTAATTAAATGGAGGCGGCCGCTCCAGCAGCACTTGCCGTAACTTTGCTTCGATCGGACAGAGCACTCACTGATAAATGACAACAGCAGCAACAACAACAACAGCAGAAGCAACAACAACAACAACGGGAGCAAATGCCCTTGAGAATGGGCCGCAACTTCCGCTTTCAGTTGAAATACTTCCGGCATTTGAGGCTCTATTAAAGCTGCCTGTTGGCCGTGCTCAATCATGTGCCAAGCATGTGAATTATGCTCTCAAGTTTTCCAATTGACTGACGCCAAATTTAGAGCTACTTGTGGCTCCCCCTTATATACACTCCCCTTCCCCCTTCCCCCTTCCCCAACCCACTTTCCCTGCCCGTCCCCTTACACAACACGTCACATAGCAATTGTCTTAGTCTCAGTTTCGAATCCGGAACACCTTTGCACAAAATGTGGCTAATTATAGTTCGGGCTGGCCGAAATGTCATTTACAGGGCTGCCACACTAGACTGAATCCATGCGAGGGTTACTTAATCAGTTTGCGTGAGTTGCATGGAAAGGCGATTTAAAAATTCAAATCTACTTAAATATATAGAGGCATTTCCTGAGTAGAAGGAAACTTCGCTCAATATAAGCTACAACAATTTTTAATTATTATTAAGTAATTATAGAAAGAATTAAATATGGCAGGAATAATTAGAAAGTTGATCAGAGTTTTTGTTACAACATTTTCATCTTTTTTTTTTTTTATTTCTAACCAAATTAATTTTTCAATTTCAATGATAGTTTGCTTTTATGATTATTTTCTATTATGTAATAAACAAATTTTTTTTTAATTATTGATTTATTTTAATAGTTTTGGATATATCAATGTCAACATCCTTTCGTATCGCCCTCGTAGTTCCTCGTAGCTATAGGGAGAACAACCCAACTATTTATAGCAATGAGGTTGCGCTTCGTCTGTCGCACATGAATTTCCCAGTTTTTTATTGTATATATTCTCGTTCTACAAGTTGGTAGGGGCAAATTATTAACGGGTACTTTCTGAGTTGCCATTTGCACCAAATGCAATAGCTGAAAGCCTTCAAATGCTGGCGAGCAATTTGTCAGCTCATTTCGCTTTACGGATCGCATTTGGCTCCTGCTCCATGTGGCCAATAAGTTATGATGACATTCAAGTGCTGTCAACGCGCAGCACAGAAATACAGTTTGGGCTGTCGTAAGTTTTCCGAAGATTTATTTGGGGTCTGTTGCAATAGTTTCACGTTTTTCTTTTCATTTTTCGGGGAATGCACCTGCCAGATGACAGCGCCTGGGTCTGGGTCTGTGAGCTTAAGAAATTGAGGTCGTTTCATCTGCTGCGGCAATTTATTAACCTACTCACACGACATTTGTGTTGCGAAATATTTGCAGATCTCATGCTCTTCACGCCTTCCTGCCTCAACAGGCAGCTCTTGTTAGGGTTTTGGCTGGAATTGAAAAGTAAATATTTGGATTTTA